AGTCACAAGGACTATGCAACTGCTGTTAACTGTGAAAATACCCAAGAGCTCACACAAGTAACCACAAGTGACTCTAAGAAATAAAATTAAAATTTAAAAAAATTAGGGCTAATGGTAGTCATAAGCAAAAAGCTTTCTTTATTCCATTGGAGGAGGGAGACTTAGACACATATGCCTGGGCCTCTTTTAGTGAGGCCAAATCTTAATACATATAGCAATGGCTATGCAGTCAGCTGTAGCCCTAACAATGAGGGGTAACAGAAACAATGAGACAAGTTTGATTCATAGCAGGGTTTCTTGATTAGAACATGGGTCCTGCAGGTACCTGTATGAGCTCATGGACCACTTGGGGCTGGTGTGAAACAATTCCGGGATTTTTCTGTGGCAGAGTTCATCCAGAGGTTGGGCACAAAAATTGTTGTTATGCAAAACTTAGGGTACATCTTGCTTTCTGGGCCTCAGCTCTGGAAAACGGGTGTTTCCTAATAGATAAAGAGAGAAGTAAAGAGAGAAGGGTGGCCTTGGCATGGAGATCCTGATAGTCATATCAAAGAAAGTATCCTCAATAGGAATATTCCATTAATTCTTTTACCAGTTTCCCTGCTGCTGTGTTGGTCTTGCTGGTGTGTTGATCAGTATTGTCAGAGAGCCCTCCACTGACATGTTTGCTTTGGGGGTCATTTTTGTTATAGAACACCAGGAAGCTAGGAGAAAGAGAGCTAACAGGACAAAACCTTCTCGCCTTTCAAAGTAGCAAACTTCTTACCAAGGATCTATAAATACTACTTCTCCTACAGTGATTCCTAGCCTACCAGTCAAGACCTCTCTTTCCTTACCATCCTCACAGGGAGTGAAAGGTGAAGTACCAAATCCTTTCCCATTTAGAGACAGGGACTGCCTCCAGTATTCAGGGTAGGATGAATCAATGGTCTCACTTCCCTGCCAAAACCAAAAAGCCAGCTACCTCCCAACAGCCACCCCTAGATCCTCTAAGCTCTTCCTAGGAAAGAGCTCTCCTATAGGTATTGCAATAACAGTAATGTGGAGGGTTCCATCAGTTGTAGATTATAGTAAGCAAAGCGGAACATTAGGCTTGCCTTTTCCAATGTCTATGCCAATGTCCATTCCCCTGAGGCCTGCATGGCTGCTTACTCTGCTAGGATCTCTTTCAGAGGGTGAAATGTAGATTTTGTCTATTTCTGCCTTGCCCTCTTATTCTAGAATTTCAGGGCACTTTTCCTTATTGATTTCTTGTAATATCATATCTAGATTCTTTTTTTTTCATCATAACTTACAGGAAGTCTGACCATTTCTATATTGTCTCTCCCTGATCTGTTCTACAGATAAGTGGTTGGTTTTTTTTAATGAGATGTTTCAGATTTTCTTATATTTTTCTAGCTTTATTTGTTCTTGGTGTCTTCTAATATCATTCAATTCCTCTTGCCAAATTTTAGTTTTCAAGGAGTTATATTCTTCCTTAAGATTTTGTATTTTTTCCCAAGTAGATGAACTTTCTTTTCATATATGCATCTATCTTTTCAAAATTTTAATTGTCCTCTGTTATTCAAATCCTTTCATGGTCTCCTCTCCCCTCCTTTCCAGTCTTCTTATACCTTATACACTCATCCCCAAATTCTAGAACAAATCACTGAAATGATGGTTTGTGAACACTCAGAAAAGGAGATGGTAATGGCTAGGACTCATCATGGCTTCATTAAGAACAATCTTACTAATTAGCCTTTGATTTTGGTTTCTTGCCTTTTGGGCAGGGAAATGCCACTTCCACAGATTTTAGGCATTTGGCTATGCATTTGACAAAGCGCTTCATGGTATCCTTATGAATACCATGAAGAGATATGAACTAGATGTTAAAGCTATTGGGAACCTCAGAACTGGAAGGGACCTCAGAAAGGATACAAACATATTATCTTTCTTTCAACTCTATTCCAGAGAAATGGTCCTGCAGATTCTGGTGGCAAGGCCTTCAGTTACTTAGAACTCATTTTTGTTGTGCAGTCGCTTCAGTTGTGTCTGACTCTTGGTTACCCACTTTTGGGGTTTTCTTGGCAATGATAGTGGAGTGGCTTGCCATTTCCTTCTCCAGTTCAGGAAGCCTTCCTGCCTCTACATCTGACACTCTATGCACTGCATTATCTCTCTGCCTGAGAAATCAGTACTTTCTGAATGTCTTAGCCAATCAGTCAACAAGCATTCATTGAGTACCCACAAAAGCCCAGGCATTATCCAAAGTGTTGGGCAGCTGAGAGTCTCTGTTTTCAAAGAGCTTAGTATCTAATGGGAGAGACAGCCTACAAATACCTATGCACAGACAAGATATATACAGGATAAATTGGAGATAAATAAGAGAGAAAAGGCAATGGCTTTCAGATGGGTCAAGAAATGCATCCTGTAGAAGGTGGGATTTTATCTGCAGCTTGAAGGAATCCAAGAAGCAGAGATGATCATGGAAAGCATTGCAGATGTGAGAGACAGCCACTGAAAATGCCCAAAATCAAGACACAGTGTGTCCTGTTGAAGGGAGTGCAGAGGCAGCTGTAAGTGGACCACGGAGTATATGAGGGTAAAGTTTAAAGAAAAAATTGGAAAATTAGGAAGGAGACAGGCAAAGGGGCTAGAATGCCACACAGAGGATTTTAAATGTGATTCTAGAAGGAATAGAGAGCCACTGGGTTTATTGAATGCAGTTGGAGTGAGGTTACATGGTCAGACCTGTGCATTACGAAGAGTAATTTGAAAGACAAGTAGAGGGTAGGATGTAGTGGGGAAAGACTTGAGGCAGGAGAACAAACATTTTAGAATAGTTCAGGTGTGAGACGATGACAGCCTATAACAAAGGGGTGACAGTATCAGAAAAGAGAGGGTGGTGTATGCCATTGAAAGTTATGTTGACTCAGTGACTCATTGTTCCTAGCCCAACTTGTCATTTAATGTTGGGAGAGGTTGTGTTGGAAAAGGCAAGAGGAAGCCAAGTCCACAGCTTTTTGCATTACCTGAGATGCAAGGGCTCGACCTTCTTTGCTGACATTGACTGATCTGAATTGTTTTTACTGATTATGAATGTTCCCATTAAGAGTTGGCCCCTTCTACTCACCCTAATTAAACTTTGGGGTAGAGGTTAGTTACCATGCCATGCCACGTGCCATGTCTTTTGCCTTTGAGGGAAGTGGAGGAAATGTAGCCATAAATCAGTCTTGATCCATATAGCTAGGGTGAGGAGCCCTCAAACCCAAGGAAGAGGCATTTAAGAGAGAAGTTAAATACTGGGGCACATCTCAGCCTGGGCAGTTTGAGCAGTTTCACTACTCAGTCAAGATAAAAGTACTCCTTCTTCTGAGGTTCAGCTTCCTCATCATGGCTGTCCATTGCAGGAAGATGAAAAGATGTGAATTTGCCAAAAGAATAGATCAGCTATGCCTGGATAAATACCATGATTTATTCCTGAGTAACTGTTAAGTCTGATCTCCTGTTGATCTCCATAGACACTAGGAGAGGAAGGCTAAAAGTAGGGGTGACAGTTTCAAAAGAATGCATGATTTGTTTGTCTTATTTTTTTTCAATTTATTTGGGGATAAATAAAATTTGAAACAAAAGTTGTAAGTTGAAAACCCTCATCTGGATCACCCAGACACCAAATTTTCATGAGTAAGATTTGAGGGTGGGAGATAGGGAATCCAAACCTTATTTGACTTAAAACTTGACCAGTTCACTCCTTCTAAATCCACTGTACTAAGTCAGCAAGTTCATTTCCTATGGGTTTGCATAATCTGAGTTCAATTTTCGATTAGTTCTTTAGCTATGTGCCCATGACCCACCCATAATAACTACCTCCACTTCAACACTCACTGAAACCTTACAAGATGGCAGAATATAAAAGCATCCCTTGTCATAGTATAGTCACTTAGAGAAGGTGGTATCTCTGAGAAGAGAGTTCAAGGTTTCTGGAGAAGAGCCAGAATTTCTGGCCAAAAAGGCCCTTCTGCCTCAGTATACAGCTCATCAGATGTGCTCCTGGACTGCAGTGTTGAGGGACCCAAGCCGAGTATAATGTTTCCACTTAATAACTTTAGGGGTAAAGTTCCAGATTGTTCTCCAGAATTATGCTGATAGTTTTCCTACTATTGAACCAGCCCTGGATTCCTGGCATAAATCCCACCTGGTCATAGTGCATGATTTTTGTGATATACTGCTATAATCTCCTTGATGTAGGTGACATCCAGTGAAAATGAACAGTCAAGAGACAAACTGTCTTGTTCAAGGAAGAGCAAAGACATCAGGGTCATGAATGGAAGAATATGGAAAGCTGGGAGGAGTGACATTGAAGTGGTGTAGAAAACCGGAAAGGAAAAGAGGGCCAGGTTATGAGGGTCTTCGAAAGCAAACTGATGATCTACATGAACCACAACAGAAAAACAAGTACTAGCATCTAAATAATTTTGAAATTTACACAGCATACACTTTTAAGTTAAATAGTCACCATTAACATTTTCTCCATCAATTTCAGAAGTCTAGACAATGAAACAAAACAGTAGGTTTGGACCTGATTTGTTGTGTTTGCATATTTCTAAAGTGTCAATGCTGACACTGAAAACTTAACCATCAGCCCCCTGCAGCAAAAGTAATGCTTCATTGTTGTTGAATCATTTCAATCATGTCTGACTCTCAGCTACCCTATCTGGGGATTTCTTGGCAAAGATACTGAGTGCTCTTTCATTTCCTTGTCCAGCTCTTTTTTTTTTCATATGGGGAATGGAGGCAAGCAGAGTTAAGTGACTTGCCCAGAGTCACAGAGCTAGCAGGTGTCTAAGGCTGGATTTGACCTCAAGTCTTCTTAATTTCAGGGGCAGTGCTACATCCACTGCACAACTTATAAAAAACTTCAGTGATGAAGGAGGATTATATCAGTTTAGGTGTACTGACTTTTCCTGGATAAATATGATTGGATATGAAGTGATCACTATTAAAATTAATTCTTCACAGGGGTGTGCTTGGCAGAGCATGTGAGCAATTTTAACACACAGCTGTACACTACAACCCTGGAGATCAAAGTATGGATAATGGGACATTTCAGATCAACAGTTGCCTCTGGTGTGATGATGGCAAGACACCAAATGCTTTGAATTGCTGTGAAGTCAAGTGCTCAGGTAAGAGCAACCTCATGGATTTAGGGCACAATTACCCTGCTCAAAACAGTAGAGAGCTATGCCGATTAAAAACTTACACAAGGGATGAAGCTTTAGAAATCCAAAAAGAAACTCCTTTCTGAGGGGCAGCTAGGTGGCGCAGTGGATAGAGCACCAGCCCTGGATTCAGGAGGACCTGAGTTCAAGTCCGGCCTCAGACATATAATGCTTACTAGCTGTGTGACCCTGGGCAAGTCACTTAACCCTATTGCCTAGCCAAAAAAACAAAACAAAACTAACTCCTTTCTAATTCACTTTCCAGTCCCTGTCTCATTATTCCCAAGTCCCAAAAGACAATCTGCTCTTAGGAGAGTATCATTTCTTAATCATTTTGACGGCAACATGACAAATCAGAAGAATGGACACAGTCCTTCAAATTCTCTTTTCATTTTAGGTAGCTACCTAAACTAGCTTCCACCAATAAATGCCCTTAGGCTAGAGAATGCCTCTAACGGAAATTTTAACAATTCAGGCTGATCCTGTTAGTCCACAATAGAGGATCATAGATGTAGAAGAGACCTAAGAAGCCATCTTGCCCATCACCCTCTCTTCACAGATAGTTGAAGTGAGGTCCAAGGAAGTAAAGTTATTTGACCAAGATTGTACAGGGAGGAGGAAGTGTCCAAGGTGAAATTTGAACCTGAGTCTTTCATGTGCTCATGATGTGTAGCTAAGCTCCTTCTAGTCTTGACTTTTCTCTTCTAGTGAGATAAGTGATATTTTTCCAAGTTGCTTTTCTGTGTGGTCAGTCAGCTTGGTGTACTGGCTAGAAGGCAGGTATTGGTGGTGAGAAAACCTGGGTTTTTAAATCTTTTTTACACCTTTCATCTGCCACTAACTGACAGCTGAGTGATCATGCATAAGTCACTTCACTCTGACAACTCCCTAGTCTTCATTTCCTCTTAGATTGTTTTAAGGATGACTTAACCACATAATTATAATAATGATAATTCACTGCCTTTTTGAATTTGAAAATGGATTTCCATATTTGCATGACTTTGTTTCTGATTTTTTAAATAAATGAGCATCAACCTATTGTCATGAAATTTCTTTTTTATTTTATTTTATTTTATTTTTTGGCTAGGCAATGGGGTTAAGTGAATTGCCTAGAGTCACACAGCTAGTAAATGTTATGTGTCTGAGGCCAGATTTGAACTCAGGTCCTCCTGAATCCAGGGCTGGTGCTCTATCCATTGAGCCACCTAGCTGCGCCTGTCATGGAATTTCTACTCTGGGCCTGGAGTCAAGATGCCTGGCTTTGAATTTTGACATTAACATTTACTATGTGCATGACTATGGATGATTCACATCTTCTCTCTGAGTCTCAGTTTTCTCATCTGAAAAATGGGGATAACTGCTTCACAGGGTTATGGAGAGAAAAGCACTTTGTAAGCCTTAAAGTGACAGAAATTCAAGTCAGTTTGGTTAAAGTGCTGTGTTCCACTTAGGTCTGCAAGGAGATTGATGAGAGAACAGTCCTTTCTCTACTGCAGTCTCTTTAATTGAAATTTAGGGGAACAATCTTGCAATGTTGTTTTTACTACCTTAACAAGTAGAATTGGTTCTTTTAGCTAAAATGAACTTGAAACTTGCTTATGTCTACTTTCATTTCTCTTTCAGAACTTCTGGAAGATGACCTCATTAAATCACTGAACTGTGTGAAGGTAATTGAAGCTGAAAAAGGCTTTCAGATATGTTATGTTTTCAATCACTATGAATAATATTTCATATTGGACATGATGGACATGAATAGTAAGAGAGGGTGTTCAGATATAAAGTCCATTCTTTTGTGCATTGTATAGTCATATTAGCAATCGTTTTTTAACAATACTCTATAGCACATCCTCTCCTAATAAGAATCCTAGGGTTCTGTGGTGCTGCTTTCCTACTTCTACAGGACAATCTATCACTGTAATAATTATCTAGCAAGGAAGTACAATGTTGGAATTGCCCACTAGGAGGCTCTCTACTTGAACTACCAATCAAGTGATCTTCAAAGTCCTTTTTTCTGGGCTCCACTGGACATAGCTTTTTCCTAAGAGGCTGTAATATGCATTCTGGTCACCAGAGGGTACTCAGCCAGAAGATGTCGAGGCTACTGTGGTCCACCCTCCAGTCATGCTCTAGCTGTGTTTTCAGCACAAAGTAGCTAGCTTTGACCTCATGCTGGAAGGGTTCAAAAAAGTGTCTGAAATGAAATATTGTTCAAAATATTAAAATATGTGGTATAGGCCTACTTCATGAGCCCCTAAACCTTTTGAGTTTTGTTCTCCCATGTCACCACTGCCCACTGCATTCCTTGATTCAAAGACTTATAATCAAAAGATTATGGAGCTTATTTTGTATAGAATAAAGCAAGAAATACCTAGCCCAATTTATTCATCTCAGTAATTTAAAATTATTATCTTTCCCACCTATTTGGGTGCAACTGGGGAGAATCCCAATCACAGTCATGGGAAACGAAGGGGGCATTCCCTCTCCATCTGAGAATAATGATCAAAAGAGAAATCTACTTTTTCCCTGACTAGCACAACAGGACTTAGCCAAGATCATTTCTTTTGATTGCCTTAGATCTCTCTCTCTCTCTGCTCTGTGATGGAGACCCCTGCTGGATGTGGTGGCCTCCACTTGTTTTGCTAAATGTCCTATGCTCAGAATTCTGCTCATGGAGCCTCAACTTTTTTCCAATGCATGTCCTAATTTCTCTACCTATTCACATGACCACTCCCTTGCTCTCCCTCCCTTTTTTCCTCCTTTTTGGGCAGCACAAATATCAAGTCAACACAAGGAAGAAATAAAATGAACATTAGACTTCTTGGTATGTGAATAGCACACTGATAGGTCAGCAATAGGTCCCTACCCAAGCATCACTTAATAGTTATTGTTTGGGCCCTGATTGCTCAGAGTTAATGTAAATAGTAATTGTTTCTCTTTTGGCCAGAAACTTTGAGGGTCTTCCCTCTCCCAGTTGTATTTCTCTTTTTTCCTTTAGATTAAAGTGGCCATCCCTTGGCTCAATTCTGTTTTTAAAAAATTTAATTAATTTATTTATTTTTGGTTTTCAGCATTCACTTCCATAAGATTTTGAGTTCCAAATTTTTCCCCCATCTCCTCCCTCCCCACACCCCAAGACAGTGTGCAATTTGATATAGGCTCTACATATACATTCATATTGAACCTATTTTAACATTAGTCTTGTGGTAAAGAACACTTACAGCCAATGGCAGAAACTATGAGAAAAAAGAAACAAACACAAAAAAGAGAGAGAGCTGTCTTTGGATCCTTGCATTGCTAAGAAGAGATAAGTCTACCAAAGCTTGTCATTGCACATTGTGGCTATTACTGTGTACAATGTTCTCCTGGTTCTGCTCACTTCACATGGCATTGGTTCATATAAGACTTTCCTGGTTTTTTCTGAAGTCTGCCTGCTCATCACTTCTTAGAGTGCAAAAGTATTCCATTACATTCACATACCACAACTTGTTCATCCATTCCTCAATTGATGGGCATCCCCTCAATTTCCAATTCTTGGCCACTACAAAAAGAGCTGCTATAAATATTTTTGTGCATGTGGGTGTTTTTCCCATTTCTATGATCTCTTTTGGATGCAGACCTAGAACTGCTATTGCTGGGTCAAAGGGCATGCACCTTTATAGAGCCCTTTGGGCATAGCTCCAAATTGCTCTCCAGAATGGTTGGATCAATTCACAGCTCCACCACCAATGCACTAATTTTCAAATTTTCCCAAACCTTCTCTAGCATTTATCATTTTCCTGTTTCATCATGTTGGCCAATCTGATAGGTATGATGTGGTACCTCGGAGTTGTTTTGATTTGCATTTCTCTAATCAATAGTGATTTAGAACATTTTTATATGACTATAGATAGCTTTAATTTCTTCATCTGAAAACTTCCTGTTTATATCCTTTGACCATTTATCATTTGGGGAATCACTTGAATTCTTATAAATTTGATTCAGTTCTCTATATATTTAAGAGATGAGGTCTTTATCAGAGACACTGGTTATAAAAATTCTTTTCCAGTTTTCTGTTTCCCTCCTAATCTTGGTTGCATTGGCTTTGTTTGTGCAAAAAAACCCCCAAACTTTTCAATTTAATGTAATCAAAATTATCCATTTTGCATTTTATAATGTTCTCTTTCTTGTTTGGTGATAAATTCTTCCATTCTCCATAAATTTGACAGATAAACTATTGTTTGCTCTCCCAGTTTGCTTATAGTATCAGCCTCTATATCTAAATCATGCACCCATTTTGACTTTATTTTGGTATATGGTATAAGATGTTGGTCTATGCCTACTTTCTGCCATACTATTTTCCAGTTTTCCTAGCAGTTTTTGTCAAATAGATTTCTTATCTCAGAAGCTGGAGTCTTTGGGTTTATCAAACAGTAGATTATTATAGTCATTGACTACTGTGTCTTGCATATTTAACTTATTCCACTGATCCAGCACTCTGTTTATTAGCCAGTGCCAAGTAGTTTTGATGATGGCTGCTTCATCTGGGATGGCTAGGTCAACTTCCCTGGTATTTCTTTTCATTAATTCCCTTTATATTATGAACATTTTGTTCTTCCAGATGAATTTTATTATTTTTTTCTAGCTCTATAAAATACTTTTTTTTGGTAGTTTGATTGGTATGACACTGAGTAAGTAAATAAATTTAGTTAGAATTGTCATTTTTATTATATTAACTTGGCCTGCCCAAGAGTAACTGATGTATTTCTAGTTATTTATATCTGACTTTATTTGTGTGATCATGTCTTTCAGGTAGATCAGTAATTCTTAAATTATCTCTCCTGGATCTATTTTCTAGGTAAGTTGTTTTTCCAAGGAGGTATTTTACTTTTTCTTATATTTTTTTTCATTCTTTTAATTTTGTTTGACTGATTCTTGATGTCTCATAGAGTCATTAGCTTCCACTTGCCCAATTCCTATTTTTTAAATTAGTTTACATATTTTTAGTTTTCAACATTCAGTTTCACAAGATTTTGAGTTCCAAATTTTTTCCCCATCTCGTCCCTTCCCCCACCCCAGAATGGCATGCATTCTGAATACCCCTTGCCCTAATCTGCTCTCCTTTCTATCTCTCTCTTCCTTCTCTTATCTTCCCCTTCATTTTTCTTGTAGGGCAGGATAGATTTCTATGCCCCATTTCCTGTATATCTTATTTCCCAGCTGCATGTGAAAACAATTTTTTTAACATTTGTTTTGAAAGCTTTGGGTTCCAAATTTTCTCCCTTCCTCCCTCCCCACCCCACCCTCATTGAGAAGGCAAGCAACTAGATACAGATTATGCATGTGTAGTCATGCAAAACACTTCCATAGTAGTCATGCTGTGCAAAACTAACTCTATTTCCCTTTTCAGTAACAAAAGGCACTGTATTAGATGCTTCAGTTAAAATCTGTCCCCAAGAAGTTTACCCTCAAATAGGAAGGCAAAGACAAGTATTCAAATGGTCATGAAACAAGGCAAAATGTGTTAGATGCAAAGCAGACATGAAGAAAATAAAATATCAGTTGAAATTTGAAGAGAGATCACTTTCACTTGGGTGGTTCTTGAGAAGCTTCAGGGAGGAGGTGACATGGGGATAAGCTTTGAAGAAGGGGGATTTTATGTGGCGAAAAGGGCAGGACAGAGTGATCATTCTATGCATGGGGGACACCATTTTCAAAAGCACAGAGATGGTAGATATTGAGACAAGAATTGGAGACGCCAAAGAGTCTAGTTTGGTCAGAACAAAGAACAATGGATTCTTTGCTGGTTGCCTCAACCCTAAGAATCACAGAAGTTTCAGACGCTGGTAGAAACTTTTGAAATCCAACAGCCTAATGCTCTTTTTAAAAATAAGAAAGACGAGGCTTAATGAATGACTTCAATTATGACTATTCTTTTATGGGTTTTTTTTGTTTTGAAATGGATAATTACATTTCATAAATATTATTACATGTCTCCATATTCATGCAAATCAAAATTGAACATTTATCCAAGGGTAGTTTTGCTCACTTTTTCATTGCTTCATCTCCCTTTCTCTGCAGGTGGGCCTGGGAATACAATCACCGAGGGAAAAACCATTCCAAATATCTCAAAGGTTGCCATCTGTAACCAGACACCTTTAGGTCCTTCAATTCATCATGATTCCTCTGCCTATAAAGAAGCTTTTTCAAATCAAATATTGTATTTTTTTCTCTTAAAAATCATTTCCTCAAATAAAGTCGGCACAAAATGAAGCAATTAGTTTTCAGAAGACAATGTTTAATAATGGCTTAATGCCTGGCTATATTTTTTAGATTTTCAGGAACACTCAAACTGAAAGGAAATTTGTGCGATTATCAAACAGACCTCCATGATATGCAGGTTTGAGTGTGAAATATCATAAACATGGATAAAAGCACTTTGCAAATCTTCAAATGCTGTCATAAATACAGAAATTCTTCAGTTCTAGAAAAAACATGTTCCCAGAGACCACATCTTTTTTTTTTGGCTGGACAATGGAGTTAAGTGACTTGCCCAGGGTCACACAGCTAGTAAGTGTTATGTGTCTGAGGCCAGATTTGAACTCAGGTCCTCCTGAATCCAGGGCCGGTGCTCTATCCACTGTGCCACCTAGCAGCCCCCCAGAGACCACATATTAAAGTGAATGTGTGTAAGATGAAATCCTTACCCAGCAGTGGCTGTTGCTTGTATCTCTTCAGAAAGCAGTAGGGGAGGGGGCAGCTAGGTGGCGCAGTGGATAGAGCACCGGCCCTGGATTCAGGAGGGACCTGAGTTCAAATCTGGCCTCAGACACATAACACTTACTAGCTGTGTGACCCTGGGCAAGTCACTTAACCCCCATTGCCCAACCAAAAAAAAAAAACAAAGCAGAAATCAGTAGGAGCTACTAAGAAGAAGTGTGTGTAGCTTGATTAGGCAACTACATAATGCAAAGTGTAAAAAGAAGAGATGGATTATATTAAAGAATCACATCCAAATTCAATCTATAAAGATATACACATGGATATGTATATATGTATTTGGCTCAAATTTCTTCTTTGAAATGTTCTTATTCTAAAGAAATATTCAGTGCCTATCTCTATTCAATAAAAATGAAAATATTACCCATCTAAAATATACAGATATCATCAAATTCTAATCAAAATACCAAAGGGAAGATTTATTGATAAAAAAATCAATAACAAAATTAATTAGGAGAAAGAAAATAATCTGGAATGGCAAAGGAAATAATTTTTAAACAGCAGGAATACAGCTAGAAAAGCACTTCCAGACCTCCAACTCTACTACAAATTAGGAATGATCTGAAATATTTGGTACTGGTTACAAAGTAGAAAAGTAAATGCTATGAAGTTTGGATGAGTAGAAAGACAGATAAATATAGACATATGATGAATTCAGGGTGCACCCTAGGAATGTTGGGGTGCCATCTGAAATGATGAGGAAGAGATGGGTGGGTCATGGAGTCTGTCCTTGGACAGTCCCCAATTTAAAGAAAGGCATTTATTAAGGTAATGCACCCAAGCGGCCCTGCTCCCCATGAGGCAGAGCCCCCATGGGACCTACTCCACATGGGAGGCAGAGCCAATTTGGCAGGCTCTGCTCCACTACAGCCCTCCTCCACTTCTTCCTGTAAGAGGCAAAAGTGATTGACCAGAGTAAAGTTCTGATTTAAATACAATTTTACGGAGTGGAGAAAGAGGGACAAGAGAATGGGAGGAGAGGCAAGCAAAGCTCTAGAATGCCTGGGATATCAGGCAATCCTGAGGTGCCTTTGTCATACAGATAAGCAAGCGCAACAGGAAAGGGGAGGGGAAGAGATGTCAGGTTAATTGGGGGTGCTTTGTTAAAGCACACAGGTAAGTCCACCACGGGGAGCTTCAATGCATAGTCTTCTTTGATCACTTTTCTGGCTGGTCACATCCTACATCTTATCTCATTTCTCACATCCTGCATCCAGCTTGCTCCCATCTGCCTTGAGCAATCCTGTCTGCCTCACCTCATAGTGTAGACATAGATACAGACATAGGTATATATATATATATATCTATATATATATATATATATAGAATATATATATATATATTGTAAACCTTAAAGGTATATCAATGGAACAGAGAAGACAAGAAAAAGGAGAAGTAAGTGAATTCAACAACTCACATTCTAGGCTCTTAAAATCTTTTGATGCTGATACAATCATGCAAGATTACATCTATCCTTCTCAGATTTGTATACTATAAACACATGATGGCTTAGGGCCTAAACTTCTAAGTTTCAAGATCATAGTCTTCAACAAAAGGCCTCTAGTTGAGGAATCAAGGGGAAAGACTCAGATGCCAGATTTCTTGCTGTTAGCATTTCACCTATGGGCTTGCAGCACTAAATTTGATATCATCTCTTTCCCAGTACTTGAAAGACAACAGAAGAACACTTTTAGCCATTCACAAACTCTTAAAAGCAAGAGCCCCAGTAAATACATCCTCGCCTTATATGACCTGCCAGCTCCTACCTCCTCTTCCTCCAGTTGCAGTTCCACAGAATCCCTAGCTGCCTAAATAAAAATCACTCTGTACCCTGTTATCTGTCCCCATTCTCTCATCCTCACCTACCAAGGATGTCCCCCACAATCGAGCTCTGTCAGCAGTTTCCTAGTTTCTGTTTGAATTTTCTTTCACTTGATCATTAACTGACTTCCCCTCATCTTAGACCTTCACCACTCATACTGCTTCCATGTTCTAGGAGTCACAGAGGACTCCCAGAAGACACTGCATCTGGCCTCCCTCTCTCTCTTACTGGATATAACTTCTCCTATACTTCCCACACTGGAGCAGAAGGAGGCATACTCCTTGTTCAACATTGCCAATTTCAGACTCTCCCTCTAACATCATTCCACAAACCCTCCTCCTTTAAAGATTATTCTATACTCATTGATCCCTGTACCTAGATGCTGTTCCAAGTTATCTATCAACCCCATGGCTAACTAGATGGAGGAATGAGAAGGAGATATATTAAGAAATAAGGCAAAACCAGAAGATATCAAAACAAAATTCTTTGAAAAAAAATTCTAAAATATGTCTACCTAGCTATGACAAATTATTATTCCATTTTTCCCTGTACTTTATTACCATTGTAGATGTTTAACAAATGCTTGTCAAATTGTTGAATTAGATGGAATTACTACACCATTGATCTGTGAAAGATTGTGCAGAACAGAAGAGTGACCACAGTATTGAGGAAGAGCAAATGTTCTGATTTGGAAAGAGGAGAATATGGGAGAGACAAACATTCTTTGTCTTCACTGGGATCTCCAGTCCCTCCTCTCGGTATTCTGCAAGCTCTCACACTTGCTCTGACTTCATTTTCCTCCTTTCCCAATCTCAACCCTGCCAGTTCAACTCTAGCTTCTAATACCTTGTTCCCATATTTTATCACTGTTCATGCCTTATGAAATCCCAACCCTGGGTTACTGCCCTGCCCTCAGCTTCCCATCTGTTATCTTCACTCCTACTGACATGCTATTGCTAGAGGAAGTTACATGACCAAGTTGACTGGGTCCAATTCAAATGTATGTGGTTGAATCTCAAGAGGGTGCTCATTACAGCGAAACAATCCTTTTACCCTTTTCAAATTAGTTCTCTCACTTTTCCCACAGCAGCTGTTCTCAACTTTCTCTTCTCTCCTCAAACCTGCCTCACCACCTCCTCCTCCTCCCTCCATTTCAGTAAAGTACCTTGTCTCATACTTTACTGAGAAAATAGAAATCAATCAACATGAACTTTTTCCTTTTCCCCTTTTCCATGTCTCAAAACTCCACTGTCTGCTCCCCTCCCTTTCTCTTTCTTTATTCCAAATTCTTTTTTAAAAAATTATTATTCATTATAACTACCATGCAAACATACCCCTCAAAATTGCAGAGTTGAAAGCAGAAAAGTTTTATTAGAAAGTAAATCAGACACTAGGGCATAGGTACCCCAAAACAAAGTACAAAGGAGCCCAAAGCCCAGTAGAGGTAGAGGAGGTTTATGCTGAAAAACTATAACGGGGAGGTTCAGGGAAGAGTTGGGAAAAAGAATACGCAGTTTTTCCCAGGAAAAAACTGTGTCGTGGGACACAGAAACAGAACGTTTTGCAAGAACAGTTGACAACGAGGCTGATTTGGGCCAGGTTGTTGGTCAGTCAGAGAACACCAACAAAGGCATCTGGGACTGAACAAGACTTTGGGTTCACTGCAAGCTCCTGCTTGCCTCCTTTTAGTAGACAGGCTTACTCTGTGTCCAGTGCACCTGCCTGGTAAGGCAAAGATATATTAATCTCAGGGATACTTCCACATGTTTAACCTTAAATACCAAAAGAGAAAATCATATAACATTTCCAGGTACACAGCAGAACATAAATAGAGGATTCAACAGAAAGCTATGTATTTCTATTTCAGACTGTTTATTTTTTCTTGAAAAAGTGATGTAATATCGTACACATTGTTTTCAAAGTAACCCGGTTTTTCTGTGCTTCCTTCTAAGTGTTCTTTGGCTCTTTTGTGTACTTTTTCTCTCTCCCTCCCCACTCTGTCCTAGAGAAGGCTACAAATTACACACACACACACACACACATACATACATACATACATACATACATACATACATACATATATGTAAAACCATACTAAACATAATTCTATTTATCAGGTCCTTCTCTGGAGGTTGATAGCATCTTCCTTCATACGTCCATTGTAGTTGGCTTGAGTATTTATGATACTCAGGATGAATTTGTCATTCAAAGTTGTTCCTGGTTATTACTTTGTATGTCTTTTTCTTGGTACTCCTTATTAGCTTTTCCTTGTTTTTTCTAAAATCAACCAGCTCATGATTTCTTATAGCACAGTGATATTCCATCACAATCTTATACCACAAGTTGTTTAACCTTTCTCCAGCTGAAGGGCATCTATCATTTTAGCTGATTTGATAACTGTGAGATGATATCTCAAACTTTTTAAATTGCATTTCTCGGGGCAGCTAGGTGGTACAGTGGATAGAGCACTGGCCCTGAAGTCAGGAGGACCTGAGTTCAAATCCAGCCTCAGATCAAACACTTGGCACTTACTAGCTATGTGGCCTTGGACAAGTCACTTAACCCCAATTGCCTAAAAAAAATGAACAAAATAAAAATAAATAAATTGCATTTCTCAAATTAATAATGATTAAGAGCGTTTTTCCATAGGACTATATATATATATATATAT